AGAGGCGGCTTTGGCTGTGGCGGCGCTGCGGTGAGGGCGTCCCTTGAGACTGGGTTCGGGAGGCCTAGAGAAACAGCTGTACACCGTCAAGGCCGGAAATAGCAGATCTGGAATCCTCTCTTCCCACCCCGCCCCTCCTCTCCGCCCCTCCTCTCCGCCCTCCTAAGCACATGACCAGCCCTAGCACTGAGACACAAACGACGCTCTCTTCCGTCCTAGCCCTTCCGGGGTGCACAGGCCTCTGGGCTGAGACCTGCATTACCAGTCTTTGGATTAGCTGGCCTCTCAGCGCCTCAGTTTCTGGATTGGCGCAGCATTGTTTTCCCCGCCTCAGGCTATACCACCGTCACCCACCTTCCATGGATAGAACTTGCGTGCCCCCCTTGTGCAGAACAGGACCGTTGAGTCTCGAGGAGGAGTTCAAGGCCTGAGGCTGGACCCGGGGGGCATCACTGCCGGCCTCAGAGGAGGGGCAGGAGTGCTGGCGCCAGCGGAGTCTTGGGCCCACGACCCGCTCACACCGCTTCCCCAACTCTTTCCTGCACGCGGCCCTGACCTTGCCTGGACATTGGCGGAGCCCCCGCCCTCTCCCAGCTCCCCCTTCCTGAGATGATAACAGGAGGCCATGGTCCTGGCGGGACTGGAGCTCCCCCTCGGCTGAGGGGAAGGCTGTCAGGGAAACGAGTGTCTTCCTGCCCACTGGGCAACCCAGAGAGCTCAAAGGTCGCTCCTGCCCGATTTTCGGCCTGCCCCGCGTGGGAACTGCCCGAGGGTAAGCGTCTACGTTCAGCAAGGTGTGCAGGTGCCCACCCAGTGCCTATCCCAGAGTGGTGCTCAGAGAGTTCTGGGACCCAGGAATGAGTATTGGCCCCTCGCGCAGAGACCCATACAGCTTCTGTTTGATTTCTCCCAGATTCCCGCGGGGGAGGCAGCCTAGTGCAGGGGAAGGAGTCAGAGCCTGGCTGAGTATCCTGGCTTGGCCAGCCCTAACTGCCCGGCCTCAGGCAAAATCCTTCTTTTCTAGGCCTCAGCTCCCTCCTCTATCAAATGGGGCTGTTGACCTGTGTCTGGCAGGACTGTTGAGAGAGGACCTCAGCTAACCTGACATTCTGGAGGTCTTAGTTCTTCTTGAGGGAATGAATGACCATCCGTGGGAGGCTCCCTTCCTGGAAGCTAAACTCACCTGTGTTCC